TACGCCAGGTGTCTGCAGTGAGTTTTAATGCTCCTCCGCTGCTGTAGTCTCAGCTCTTCTTGCCCAGCACGCCTCGTGTGACAGCCAAGCAGCCGCTGTCCGATTCGAAAGGTTCGAGAGACGATTAATCTGTTCATGTTCATCATTCTATTAGAAACAATCTCTACTTCATATAGCCATCGGTCTGCTCCCGAACCCAAGCAGCAAAGTACCTTTCACCCGTTTCTGTCCCATGCTGATGACGTAACAGATATGTTCGAGAGGCGTTCTCTGACTCATGTAAACTATAGACTTACAAATGTGAGCGGTCTTCTAACACATACATACCGAGCTTACTGGTAGTGTAAAAAATTATGTTTCGTTTTGTTTATCTTTACAAAAAAAAATCTAAATAAATATCTTTGTAAAAAATAACTCTCTTACCAACTTTGATTTTTATTTTTCACGTGTTCTTTGCAGAAGACCGCGGTGACTTTTAAAAAGTGTTTGTTGAATTTTATTTTATTTTATTTACCATGTTATCTGTATATAATGCATATGTTCACTCATGTTTTATTACTAAAAATATGCAATTCGTATTTGTAGCTTTCAAGTCGAGCAATCCCAGGAAAAAACAAAAACAAACCCATACGTCACTCCATGATCCTCCGTCTCGCTGACTATAAGCCCTCGAATTTAAAGTTGGAAAGCACAAGACCTTTAAAGAAATTAAATTTCGTGTATGCCATGAACACTACGCCATTGGTTTATCGAAATTTCCGACGGTACTTGAACATATCATAGCAATACCTGCAGGACTCCACTAGATGACGTATTATGCAAAGAAACCACTCAGCCCTAGAGTAGAGAGGGCTCTGCTTCTGACTTGTGCTGGAAACTGGACCTAAATGATGGACAATGACTTTTTTCTTTTCTTTATCCACGTGTGTGTAGAATAATTTTCACCACCAACTAAGATATTTAAAAGCTGTATAAATAAAAGAAATAAAAGAAAAATATGCACACACCCAACTGACAGAAATAAAAACCTGGAGCTGGTTTGCTTCTGTATCATTGAATGTGTACTTGTCTAATACATGCTGTTCTTTGCTGGCAGAGGAAATGAAGCCCTGTACTTGGTCCCTCCCGGCCGCATGATGACGTTGTCCTGCTGACACTACGGATGTGGCCCTCATTGCTGGAATCTATTTTTAGATCCAGCCTCAAGGGCCAGACAGACAAACAGGGCAAACTGTCACTCAGACCACCTGCCACAGTTAGGCAAGTAGCCAAGGCATGCTGGCTGTGCGAGACTGAAAAAAAGAACAAGAGTACTGCAGTTGTGACCTTCATCAGAGGCTTCGACTTCCTGAGAATTTTGTTAAGGTTGATAGAAATATCTCAGCGTCCCTGGTGACCTCTGTATTGTTGGAGCTACGTGAAGGGGAGGAAAATAGAAACACATATGTATCAGTCATGGGCAGGACAGTATAGCTGCAGCCGAGGACAGTGGATATCATATCCTCACTATTGTTTCATGAAATGTAGGGACTTTAAAGGGGGAGTTCCACTAAATTCACACATAAAGGTCATTTTATTCGTCACAAGGTAGTACTCGCCCTGTTGGAGTACTTGTACAATGTTTTCTGTGCTGCTGAATTTAAAGCTGAAAATAAAATCTAGATGATGTTGTCAGGTCAAAGTGAGGATGTGGAGTTTCAGGTTTGCATGAAAGTTCATGACCAATACAAGATAAATGCATGAATACATGCACAGTGTGCACTAAATCTAATAATGGAAACACTCTAAGAAGACCAATTCTGAGCTAATCTAGTCTCAGTTACTGTAGATAGTCCTGTCCTTGCACACTCTGTTTCAGGAGCCAGTGGTTAACTAACAGGGGTAATAGTTCTAACCCCTGCCCACCCTGCTCTTGAGCAAGACGTTGATCCCCAAAGTGTAAACACTGGCAGTGCTAGATATTTCAAAGCACTTTATCCTGCTAGAGTAGACTGTGTACTGTCACACTGGCTGTAGGCTGAGTATACAAAAGCCAAAAAAAAAGTCTGGTTCCACAACTATGCAGTCTATTTTAATTCAGTAAAATCTACATAAGGGACACTAGGCAACTTTTAAGAAGAACAGGCTATAAAGACTGAATATATCACATATACATATTAAAAAACAGCCCTAGTTTCTACAGCTGTGGGACCATCATTGGGTAGAGAAGCCTTTAAAGCACTCTTGAGAATATTCTATGACTTCTCTCAGAAATGTAATACTGACACCTTTAAGAAGAATGAAAGCAGCCAGAGGTTCTGGAGCTCTGGTACATCTTTTCCACTGATGCAGTGGCTAAAATAGAACTCTTTAAACGCTTTAAAGACCACACTGCTACAGAAAAGCACCACGTGCTGGTCTTAAATTTGCACCCCAAAGATCAGTGGCAATCAGAAGAAATTCACGGGTGATTGCTGAACCACTGTGCTAAGATTTCCTTTCCCATTGGAGTCACTGCAGCTTCCATGACAGTGTTTGGTTCTAAAACTCTAAAACAAGGCTGGTTCTCTAAAGGTGCCAAGGAAGAAGTCTTGAGGAAGTCTGGTCACAGAGATGCTGTCCTAAGATGTTTTGGACTCATATAGAGTTCCCAGATCCTCAGCCACCACACCACGTTTGAGGTTAGGAAAAACCTGCTCAATTCCCGGCACAGAACCCTTTGAAGTAGAAAAGCCTGGTGTATTTATTTTCAATTGTTGGCACCTGATAGAGTCCAAAGTGGCCACGTTGACATGTTTTGTCTGGATGCGCTTTAGTTTCTTATATTTTCCTCCTTTTTTGGTAACCTTTTGCTCTCAGTCTCAGGTGGAGTTGTTGGACTGGTATTAAGTCTCAGGTTTTCCTGTCTGGACAGTTCTTCCCACGCCTGTTCCTAATGGTGTAATTAATTAATAATTTTGTTGATGGGTGGTGATTGTACTGGCTGTGGTTGTCTGTAATCTCCTGTGCCTGTGTAACGCTCTTTCTCTGTGAACAAGAGAAACATGCTGCCTGCAAGTCACACATTCCTGAAGACTGTGAGCACCATTAGCCACTTTTCTCAGCTCTGGCGTGCCAGCGCAGTCACCCTCAAAGGACTAACCTCCTCTCCACCTGCTTGCCAGCTCTCCACCCATCCCCTCTCAGCAACTAGCTAACCAAGTATACCTCCTGAGTTCTGAGTAAGACACTTGAAAACTCTCACTCTTACCAGTATCCATCTTGCTGCACTTCAATAAACATCTAAGCCTGCCAGCGTCTGCTCTTTGTCGGTTGTTCAAACCAGCTTAAGACACAGTAACAGGTGAGAATTCATATTTCATTACAGAATGAGTACAGACATTAAAGGGAGTGGCAAAGCAAATATACAGAGAGCTCATAAGGCACATCTATCTGCACAGCTGAGGCTATTAGATCATATCTGCCCAACTCTGGTTCTAATGTATACACCACAGATCTGCAGTGAAAGACCTGCAGTCAAAACAGTAACCTGCAAGACTGCAAGACTGACCTGACCTGGGAAATGTTTGCAGGTGATACTGATCTGGAAGACTATGCCAGTTCAGATCTGGAATGCAGACACTTTTGCATCACAAAAAAAGGACAATAAAGCTGTACAGCAAAGCAGGAATGCAGCCTTCAGGTCAGGGTACAGAGGAGCCTACAGCACAGCCATATTTACTTCCTCCTCTCCATCTGCTTTCACGCATTCACTCATTTAGGGATCTGAATTCAGCCTACAAGAAGTGTAGCTCCTTGATCTTCCCAGTCATTCATCTGACACCAAGAAATACCAAGCAGGATGCAAACAGGCAGACAACTGCTCCGATTTGACTGTATATCATTTTATTTTGCGTTCTCAACATTGTCACAGTACTAGTTTTACATCAATGGGTATTTTTCTACTTAGAAACAGAATGCATAATAAAATAAGAGCACTCCTCTCTTCCCTTTGACTTCAGAAGTCTGGCTGTGAGTGTGAGAAAACAGAAGCATCTCAGGAAAGACGACAGAAACGGTGTTAACCGTGTAACAATTGGCTGTTCATCTCTAGATCCTATGATAATTCAGTCCTGTCGGAGGCAGAGAGAAGCAGTTTGATTATGTAAAGATCACAAGGGAGCAGGAATGCACCTTCAATGTAACTGTAGACACTGAATAGTAATAATAAGAATAATTAATAACAATAATTTACAGACTATTTACATATGTAACTCATTCTTTATTACCAACTTGCCATTAAAATATTTCCTCCATGTCCAGCCCTCTTTACTTTTACTTCAAGTCACATTAGATTCCATATTTACACTCAGCAGTACGCTGCCAGGTCTTTATACGCTACAGTGGAAATATGGGTGAAATGCATGCCGGAGGAGAATGATGCACAAACAAAAAAACACACTAGCAGGCCAAAACTCGTCTAGATGTAAACAAGCACAAGTCAGGGAAGTCGTAGCTATGCTGGAAGGTTAAGTTGTAGTCAAGCACGCCGCTTGACAGAGCAACGGTTGAAAAAACAAAAACAAACGAAACCAAAGAAGGAGAGCAGAAGAAAGAAACAGTAGGCATCAATGGCATGCAGCAAAGCACCTCACATGGAATCTGGACAGGTTTCACAATAGATCAGTGCTCTGAAGGAACTGGAAGGTTGTAGGGTAAGAAAAGTAACTCGGGTCCTTTTTTGGTATCTGCCTGTACCATTACTCTCTAATAGCCTGTTGGTGTTCAAATCCTGGTCTGAAGACAAACTTTGTGATTGGTCGGGTACAGCGTTGGGTTTTAAATACAGCCCCCAGTAGATTTCATGTTAAACTGATTTCAACAACGCAATATTGGCACTTTCCTGATTCTGTAGCACAGAAACTGCAGCCAACTATAAGGTGTGAACGTTACAGGAGCCTACAGTGCACGGACACAACACAATCTATTTTAAAGGTACTTTTTGTAAGGACATATTGCAAATTGTTTCACCACCAGGAGGCAGTGGTGAGTTGAAATGTTTACGGAGGTGTCGTTCTTTTCATTTTTTATGTTTTTTATTGTGTTGCCTTTTGCAGGCTACCATTGCAAATAGGAATGTTTTC